GAAGTAAATAAGCATATTCACAAGGTAAGTGAAACATGGGTGAAAAGTATTACAATGTATGTAAATAATAAGTCTTTCAAGGTTGATTTTAAGTTAAATACTGGTGCAGAAGTAAATATTTTGCCTTTTTATGTTTTAAATAATGTTAAACATAAGCCTAAACTTAATGAAACTGATTTGTTCTTAACTGCATATGGTAATTTTAAGTTAAAACCAGAAGGTACTCTTACAATTAATTGTTCAACTGAAAGGCTTAAGAATGTACCTTTACAGTTTTATGTTCTTGATGTAAGATCTAAGCCTATATTAGGGTTAACAGCTTGTTCTGCATTAAAGCTAATTGAAAGGATTGATTCCTTAATTTGCAATATCATTAATAAAAATGATTTAATTGCTTAGTATAAAGATGTATTTACATGTACAGGGCAATTTCCTGACAAACCATATCATATAACTCTTGAAGATGATGCAGTACCAGTAATACACCCCCCCCCAAGACGTGTTCCTCAGGCTTTACAGCCTAAATTAAAAGATACTTTAGATAAACTTGAAAGAGAAGGGATAGTATCGAAAGTAAATAAACCAACTGAATGGGTTCAAAGTTTGGTTATAGTTGAAAAACCTAATGGGAGTCTGAGATTATGCTTGGATCCTAGAGATCTAAATAAAGTAATTAAAAGCGAACACTATGAAATTCCTTCTCCAGATCATATAATTACTAAATTAGAATGTAAAAAAGTAGTTTCAGTTGTAAATTTAAAAGATGGATTTAGACGAAGCTAGTTCTGAACTATGTACATTTAATACTCCTTATGGAAGATATAAATTTAATAAAGTGCCATTTGGAATATCCTCCGCCCTAGAAATATTTCAGAAAAGAAACCAAAAATTATTTGGTGATATTGAGGGTGTGGAAGTTTATTTTGATGATATCATAATTGCAGGATCTGATGATATAATTATCTTTAAACTTCTTGAAAGAGCTAGGTCTCTAAATATAAAATTTAATACTGATAAATTACAATATGTTCAAAAGTTGTTAATCCGGACTCGTCGGGACTTCGGCGATTCCGGATTATCGATTTTTCCGGATTATAGATCATCAGTTTAAATCTGGTAAGATGGCATGCAGAAATTATAAAATTAAAAATATGAAACCGTAATTTATAAAATAAAGAACAATTATGATCTAAAGGGTATCAAAATTTACGCAAAAAAAAAAGCTTAATATTTATTTGTTTACTTTATTAAACATTTCTTTCAATGAAAGTTGTTTAAGTTGCTTCATTTTTTTATGTGATAATACATTCTCTTTAATTCTATAAACAGACATAATTTCTTGTTCAGTTACAAAGTTCCGCTGTTCAAGTCCTATAACTGCTGTATCTACCGACTAGTTTGTCAATAGAAATTTTTTCGTTTTCAATAACCTCTGTCACTTTCTTCGCTAACGGAAGCGAATTATAATGACGAGGAATTTGATTTAAATCATACCAAAGACAGAGTACATCGAGATGAAATACTACATTTAGTAAGGAATTATAAGCCAAATAAAATAAAAACATCTGCCCTGAAGATAAGGATAGTGCTGACAGATCAACTTCCAATTCATTGCGCGCCGCAGCGTTAAAGATAAACAAACATTAAAGTTTAGATAAACAAAGGATATGCCTTTATCCATTTTTTGCAGCAATTCCACTTTTTGTTTAATGAACTTCGAAATATACTTTTGCTTTGTAGATCCTTTACATATTAATAAATATATATCAGAAATTCTACTTGACATAATCGAAAGTTCAAGCTTACTTTTATAAAATTGCTCTAACAGTCTGCAAAAAATAATAAGCTGGATCCAATTCGAAGATTAAGGAATAACGCAATCTGCAACATTAACTGAAATAGATAATTAGATAATTTTAGCTTAGCTTATACCGTCTGTTATACATTAAACACGCACTCGTAAACATATTTTGCGCACGTGCACAAGCATACTCGCAACCGTAAAGGTCTTACGCGCATGCGTCAACGCGATACATGCGCAGAAAATTTGTAGCTTTGAGGTCCGGATTATAGATCATTCTGGATTATGGGTGTCCGAATTAACGACTTTTGACTGTATAGGGTACCAGAAGTCAAATATGTAGGCCAAATTATTTCTGAGTCAAATGTAAAAACCGATCCTAGTCATATTAAAGCAATTATTGATATGCCAACATCAAAATCAAAAACTGAAGTAAGGAGGTTGTTAGGAATGTTAAATTTTCTGTGAAAATTCATACCTAATGTATCTAAAGTTACTGCTCCTTTATGAGAAATCATTCAAGAAAAGGTAGAATTTAATTGGGGAGAAACTCAGGAAGAGTCATTTAACAACATCAAACAACTGCTAACCAAAGCTCCAATTTTAAAAGTTTTCAGTGGTAATGAAGATATAATTATACAGCGTGATAGTTCGAAGGATGGCCTAGGATCGTGTCTAATTCAAAAGAGTAAGCCTGTATCATTTGTGTCTCGCAGCCTGACTAACAGTGAAAAAAACTATGCACAGATCGAAAAAGAGCTATTGGCCATAGTATTTTCTTTTGAAAAGTACCATAATTTTGTTTATGAATGGAAAGTCACAGTACAAAGTGATCATAAACTGTTAATGGCAATTGTTAAAGAAACCACTGCATAAAATCTCCTCTAAAATGCAAAGGATGATCTTAAAATTACTAAAGTATGATTTTGAGATAAATTACGTTCCAGGTAATCAAATGCTTTTTGCTGACGCTTTGTCACGTGCATATCCTGTGAATGAAACTATTAGTGATGATCCTGAAATGCTAAATGTTGTTCACATTATTTCAAAATATTTGTCTATGAGTGAAAGAAGAATGGTGCAATTTAGGAAAGAAACTGAACCAGATCCAGATTTGCAAATAGTTATGAAATATATTAAAGAGGGTTGGCCTAAATGTTACAAAAAAGTAGACAGTAGTGTAAAAACATACTTTAAAGTTAAAAATGATCTTTATATTAATGACAACTTGTTATTTATTAATGAAAAATTAGTTGTACCTTATGGTTTAAGAAAAGATATGTTGCAATTAATTCATGAAGTGCATTTTGGAATTGAGAAATGTAAAAGTAGAGCCCGTGAAATTTTTTACCGGCCAGGTATGACAAATGAGATTGAGCAGCTTGTTTCCAAATGTGAAATATGTGAAAAATTCAGAAATAGAAATCAAAAAGGACCTCTAATGCAACATGAAATTCCAACTAAACCATTCGAAAAAATTGCCTAATATCTTGCAATTTGGTAATCAAAATCACTTAGTAGTTATCGATTATTACTCTAAATGGATTGATGTTTCTAACATAAAAGATATGACAGTAAATGAAATTATGATAAAGTTAAAATGCATCTTTGCCAGGTATGGTATTGCAAATGAAGTCGTTTGCGACAATAATCCCTGTAATAGCTACTTATTTAAAAAATTTGCTGAAAATTGGGATTTCGAACTTAAATTTAGTAGCCCCAGATATCCTCAAAGTAATGGGTTGGCTGAAAAAGCTGTAGGAATAGTGAAAAATATCATGAGAAAAGTTGCAAGATATAAGTGTAGGCTTAATGGAATATCAAAAATACCCCAATTAGTGAAATAAATTTGTCTCCTGCACAACTTGTTATTTAATAGAAGATTAAGGACAAAATTACCTATCGGTAATAAAGTTGTTAAATACTAAAATAAACAAACCTTATTCTAAATTTTCGTGCACTTCAAGCTAGGCAAAAATATTATTATGATAGAACTGCACAGAAACTGCCTGACTTAAAACCTGGAGATAGTATAACCTTGTTCAACTTTAGAACTGGGCAATGGGATAAAGGTGAAATAATTTCAAAACATAAAGCTCCTAGATCCTATATTGTAAGAAATTCAAATGGGGAAATATTACGAAGAAATAGACGCCATATAAAATTTTCAAAATCACCTTACAAAGTTAATAATGATTATGATGATATTTTATTAGATAAAGAGGAAAATTCAAATGGAATCCCTGAGAATGTTTCTGTGCCTATTAATATAGGAAATCAACAGAATAATCTATCCAATAATACAACAACAAGAAGTGGACGGTTGATTAGACAACCTTCAAGACATAGACTTTGTCATGGAATAAAATAATGTAACATATTGCATATATCATTTTTAAACTTTTTTTATTGTATGTCATATTGTGAATATACTTGTACTGATATTATTTACTATTTTTATTATTATTTATAAACTGGAGGAAGGGATGTGATGTATATTTAAAATAACTATAACTGTAACTGTAAATAACTATAACTGTTATGGCGCTCATGCTACGCGATTCCATTGTTGTGATGCACGTGTTATTGTGCTAGCTGCATGTCATGTGAACTGTTTAAAAATGTAATAATAAAAAATTTGAATTCTTGAGATATACTCATTAGATGAGTCTACTTTTAAAGTACAGAAGTTATTAAATTTAACAAACTAAACAAGAAGTTACACAAGGAAGTATTGTGGCGTACACATCAGATTTTCTTTATACACTAAACCCAGTATAGAAACTTTATACAAAAGGAATATTTCCCAATCATGGTTGCAAGTAAAATCTTTCCATCTCTACAACATAAGTATTCAAAATCTTACAGCATTGTAGTGCCATTTCCAATCTTAATTTTTGCTCTCATCTGTGAATGACATTCTGCTATATTAAGTAATAGCAACTAAGTGATGCAGACTGTAATGTAGTATTTGAGAGATTTTTAAGTTACTTGCTAGCATTTTTAGCATGTTAAATTTTGATGGTGCTTCATATCAATATCTTTCTGTCTTAATTGCAACCTTCCAGTCACTCATAATACAGAGAAAAATTATTTCCATTAGATTTTTGAATACTAAAACATGTTTTTGAGATCTAAATCAAAAACAGCTAATCATATTGACATAAATTTTTTATGTTAAAATAATCAAAATACATACTTCAATCCTTTGCAAGAATTCTCGTATTTTCCTTAATGCTACATATTCCTTATACTTTCCACAATTTCTTGCTTGATCTGGCCGCAAAAATGCTATAAAGTCATCCGCAAGCACAGGGTAATTTTTAAGAATTTCCTTTAACTCAAAAAATAGCTAAAAAAATAATAATAATAATAATAATAATAATAATACATAAACTTTTTTTGGAAGGGGAGAATTATGTTTTAATCTGTTACATGAAAACTACTGTACCTGAACTGGGGACTTTGTGCTGTTCTGATAATTGCAAAGTGCTTTTAAAAATCTTTCCCAAGTTTCAGGATCACTTCTCAATCTTTCTGTCACTCTTAAGAGGTAAGAATTTGCAAAAAGTGCCTCTTTTTCCTTTTGCTAGATATATAAAGAAAAAAGGAAATAAAACTAAATTCTTTTATCTGCATGCGAGTTATATTAATGAGTTTTAAACCTACCTTTAATTTTACTTCATAACACAGATCACATAAAAAATGAAAACAAAATGTACAATTAATTATTATAATAAATAATGTAGCAGTGTAAGCTTTCATTATTAGAATACCTGGCATTTCTGCAAATGAAAGGCTAATATTAAATAAATGCGTGTGTAAAATATATGAGTAACTGTATAAAGTACTTTAAAGAAACAACACAGTTGCACATATCTGATTGCAGGGTCCCTTTCTGAGATGTGGTTTGATTAACTAAATTACGCTCTTAACTAAGACAACAATTATATCTGACCCCTCCCATTTTTGTCCACAGCATAATTTTCTAACATTGGTATTATTATCACCTATGGGACTGAGAAGATTTAGGAGGATTCTGTTGATCTAAGGGACAATAAGGTGGCATTGAGGGGCAAGTCAATACAATTGGAAAATTTGGTTGCTTACATATTTCTGAAACAAACAGTTATATATTCATTTCACCATCCACATACATTTTTTTTTAGATATTTTTATAAGAATCATACCACTAAACCCTTCACTCGCATTCTTTCAAACTGCATGTTTGTAAGTTATGTTTGTTATTCCCAAGGAACTTAATATGTTACAAACAATCAATCTAACATTCTAAAAACACTGCAAAAATATTTTTTTAAAGTCATGTTTTATTTTATGTAATAAGTACAAAATTTTCCTAAATAAATTAGTGATAAGGGTTGAAGAGATGCATAAAAAGTGAAATTTTATAATTTTTACAAAATTGAAGTGGCAACACATGAATATTTGCATTAAATATTTCTGGAACTGAAAGTATGTCAACAACTACTGGTTGTGAACAGCCAGGTAAGGGCTAAGTGTATACATAATGTAAAAAGTAATTTTATTTTCCACATATAAAAATGATAATGTCTTTCACTTATATTTTTAACTGGACATGAAGGTAAAATGATGATAAGGAAAAAAAAAAAAAAAAAAAGCTTTTATAGCAAGAAATCAACATAATAATAAATTTAGCTGCATAAATGTTTTGGGAAGGGGGAAGATGATATATGAAAAAGTGTACTTTCATTCAATAATACACTGCTCTCTAAAAGTTAAGGAGCAGCATGTTTTTCAAAGCTACAAAATTACAAAAATGTCAGAAATATTTAAATTCACATTTTATATGCATGATAGTAACGAAGTTTAAGAATATATATGCCAAAACAGTAGCTATCACTTTTATTTTATAGAAATGAATATTTATGTAGGAGTTGGAGAAAAAATGCAAACATTGTTTTGTTCACGAGTGTGATCTTCAACTGTTATTAACAATTTCATTGATAATATCCAGGAGAAGTCATCTGCCCAATTCGTTGTGGTGGCAAGCAATCGGAGGGATGGAAATGGAGATACCACAAGCTGATGCTACTAGACGTCACAATGTCTCTTGTAGTTTTGTCTACCAACTATGGAATCAGTTTTAATCTGAGGATTCTGTGTCTAGAAGGCATGTCCCAGGCAGACCAAAAGTAATAACATCTGTGTGAGATCATTTCTTAGCTCTTTTGGCACAAAGGAAGAGCAACATTACCGTGCCTTAGCTCACGGCAGATCCTTCACTGGCAACAGGAACAAGAATTTCAGCTACTGCAGTATACAGACGACCAGTTGTTTGCATCCCCTTTACCTGAGGGCAGAGATGTGCTTATTTATGTTGGGCAAGAAGACACGTCTCCTGGACCAGTCATCAATGGCTGTCTGTTATCTTCTCAGACAAATCCAGGTTCACACTGGATAGTGATTCAGGCCATCAGCTGATCTGGAGAGAATAACATACCAGATACAACCATTTCCACATTGTGGAAAGCCACAGTTACAGAAGTGGAATAATGATGTGCGCTGAGATCTCTCTCTCTGGTCACACTGACTTGCATCTGTTCCATATAGAAACTCTGACTGGTGTTAGATATCGAGATGAGATCCTTGATCAATAGGCCTGCCCATATGGCACTGCTATTGATCCAGGATTTCTTCTGATTGATGACAATACGCGACTGGACAAAGCTTGGGTTGCTAAGAATATATTGACGGTCACAGTATGGAACAGATGGAATGGCCACCTCAATCTCCAGACCAGAATCTGATAGAGCATCTTTGGGGCTATCTTGGAAGACAGTTTGCTGCTTTAAGTCCTCCTACAGGATTGTTAGATGAGCTTGAACAAACAAGAATTACTTCATGTTTGGTCATTGCTTCCCATTTCACCGACCAACAACTTAATTAACAGTGTCGCTGCTGCCAATGTACTGCAGCTAGGGTTGGACACATTCCTTATTAGAACTGATTTTTGTAATGTTACCACCACATTTTTACTCATAAAACTGTGATGTACTGTTTCTCCAAGACTGGATTTCTCTGCAGAGAGTGCAATTTTTTGTTGTAATGCATGCTTATGTTGAACTTTAGAAACATTTTATGTCGCATTCATAAAAGAACTGTTTAGTGAATACTTCCTCTAAGTTTCTCGTTTCTATGTTGCTTCATTCTCGAATTAGACAAAAAAAAAAAAAAAAAAAACTTATTGTTCCTTACTTTTGGAGAGCAGTGTATTATACGAATTAAAAAATGGCATTAAAGTATCAACATATACAGAAAACAATACTGCCGAATTTGCTACTGGTTCTTTTGATAAAACTGGTTTAGGCACTTTGTAAAAAAAAAAAAAAAAAAAAAAAAATATCTTGCAAGGATCAGCATTTTATGAATGTTCATCATAATTCAAAATTCAAATTAGAGAGGTCTGTTAAACTCCCCTCCTTAAAAATAAACTAACAATTTTTAAACTGGATTGTAACAGGTAATGAAAAAATTATAAAATATAATAGAATATGGAAAAGGAAATGAAAGAAAGACACTCATTCATGTGCAAAAAGTGAAACTTCGAGAACAACAAAAGTGAATTTGCTTGAAAATAAGATCATACTATATTGTTAGCTATTTTTTCCAAAGAGATATTTCATCATAAGCTGCTTCAAATTATTGATATCACAAGTGCAAACTATTGTTGTCAACAGCTAAATGAATTAAAGAGAAATAACAGATTCATTAATTAAATTAATTAAAGAAAAATAAGTGGAAATCATGAATCAAAAAGGATAACGAATCAAATGATCAAAAAGTTTTGTGAAATCTTCCCTTGTCATCCAATACTACCCCATCAGATAACTAGCTGTTTTGATCAGTAGAAAGCTACTTAAATGGAAGAAAGTTACAAAGTTTTCAGGATATGTATCATTTTTGAAGGAAAACCTAAAGGTTTAGTATATAGATGGAAGATTGTCAGAAATAATAAAGGAAATTAAAGCCTAATTTATTGGTTAAAATAATGATTAGAATGAAAAAACAACAGTTTCATTTTTTAATTGTAAAATAATACCACCTGCTTAACATATAAAATTAATTAATATGGCCTAGTCCAGCCAAAATTAATATATAAGTCATACCAGAAAGAATATATATGAACCTTCTGAATATATTAAGCGTGTTAATTTTTAATATTTTTTTAAAAAGGAAGCCTTTCACAAATTATACTTTTAAAGTACCAATTCACCAAACATTTAGCCAAATTCCAAAAGAATGTCTTAAAATTTTTGTACATATATATATTTTTTAGCTATACATATTTTTCATTATTTCAAAAATTGCAATTTTTTTTAATTATGATAAGTGTCTAAAAAATATAAACCAACAAAGAGAATACATCATTTACTGTGACCACAATTAAGTTAATGTTATCAGAATATTACAAAATAATTTTTTAAACCAAATTTACCTAATAAGGTCAAAATAAATCTGAAAAATTGCTAATTGACTGAGAAATGTCGCCAAGTAAGTGATTAAGTCCCTAAAGTGCATGATTTTATTTTAATCTATCATTTAAAATTCTGCAAAAAAGCAATCTTTTGCTTCATTTGGTGCAGAATTTTTATTTTGAAGGCAATCAAACACTATTCTTTAGACAGAATATGAAGTCTGCCAGTCATTTTTTGAAACAAATTAAAGTACAAATGTGATAAACTTTCTGAAGAAGATGAAGATAAAATCAGTGAATTACCTATAAATGCTGATATGAGGGACAACCACTGAATATGAAGATTAGAGGAACAACATCACTCAAATAATTTCCAGAAACATTAGAAACAGTTCCTAAATGAACTTTTGCATAACACATGCCGATTATCGACTAGTAATAACTTTCTCCCTAGCTAATACCTTGTAAAAGTAAGCACAGTGGACGCTCGTCAATTTGAATTCAGTTAATTCGAATTAATTCAAAGGCCCCCCAAAACTTATACTGGAGTTAATGTTAAAAATATCTCATTCATTCAAACTAAATTTTTAGCACTTCAATTAATTGAAACTAAAACTTTTACCCCCCCCAAAAAAAATCTTTTTTCTTTGTTTAAAAGAGAAAATAACGCTGTATTTATTATTTTGTGCGTCAAAATAATCTGTATTTCTTTTCTGTGTAAAAAGGCATATGCCTGCACTCCTAGACTATTGCGTTTCTGCTGAATGTCAGTGGCTATTAACCTACTATCCACTTTTTAACAGTGCTTAACAGACAAAGCTCCTGGGCTAACCTATTTCCTTGGATTCATTCAGAAACCTTTATGAGTGGGTCCGGGTTGGAGGAGAATCATTTGTTTATTTGTTATCGATTTTCTTAGAATTTCAGAAAAACCAGTCTTTACTTCAGATTCTAGAGAGATGCATCAGTTATGCCTGCAGTACAGACAAGTTAATGTGCTCTAGTTTTTCTTTCTCAATGTATAGTGTGAACGTGTAAAAATTCAGAATGTCTACACATGGAAAGTACAAAACCAACTGATTATAGGTAGAAATTTACATATTATAGAAATTTACTTATTATAGAATTATCCT